ATCTTCAGTTCACTGAATTAAATGACATTTAATTCAGTGAAGTAAAGATGATGTAATTCACTTAATCTTTTACATTATAAAACCTGTGACTTTAACAAGGCTTGTGTGCATGTTTAAAAGCAGTTGAATTGTTCTTGTTTGTCACTTTAGTTTTGTTTTTTTTTAACCAAAATTCCTGCAGCTTTATTAATCAATATACTTAACTTAATTGAAGAAAACATATGTTAAGTTTGAAGCCATAAATATTTCCAACAAGCTAAATGGACCCAATTGCTTGGGTCTGTGTTAAAGTCACCCAAAACAACAAGTGTAGACATGTAAAAACGTTACGTAAAAAGTTTAAATTTAAGGGAAAGTGTCCATATTTGTAATGCAGGCAACAGTTGAGCAATGAAAACTTTTCACCCATGACTCAAACCGTTCTGTGTGAAGGAAAATTTGATTTAGGGAAGAGGCAGCAGATGTCCAAGTGATTAAACTCCGCTGCTTCCATAAGTTGCTGCAAACAGCAAATTACCTTAGGCTGAAGTTTATCAGTGTCATCTCAGTGTTTTGATTCAGAACTGCCTGAAGGTAACAAAGTTAGTTTCTATGGTTTATAGTGAATTTTTTTTTTTTTTCACAAGAAGTGATTGAAAACTTTCGGTTGCTCTTTTGGAGAGATGCAAAGGTGAACTACTGGAACTGAAGTGGGTTTTAACATTTTCCCTGAAGCACTTGTATCTTCCTAGCAGATTAAAATAATAATGCATCAAAACTTTTGCAAGAATCCAAAACAAAACAAAAGGTTTGTTTTGGATTTTTAGGGAGGAGAAGAAAAAGATAACTAAATGACTAAAATGACTAAAAAAGACTCATCCAGACTTTGTTATTCTTGGCATAATGCAGAGAACAGCTTGACTTTTCAAGAGTTCTCAGTATCAGGATGATTAAAACATGTATGGTGTTTTTTATTTTATTTTATTTTTGTTTGTTTTGTTTTGTTTTTTTAATGTTGCTAAATTTTTGAGGAGACCATTTTCCTGTTTCCAAAGTGGCAGCATGCTTATCCCATCCTGAAGCTGCAGCCAGAGTTTCAGTAAAGACATCCCAACAAAACAACAAAACGTGCGTTAGAAGGAATTGTTTGGTCATTCTAAGTCTAAGGATTACATTAAGTCGTATTTTAAGCGTTACAACTCTGGAATGTGGAAAAATATTCTAATTTTAAAGTTGAAAATATGGCTTGTTGGCGATCTGATTGATGGGATGTATGGAGCATGTGTTCACCGAACATTACAGCCGTAATAAAAAGTGGATTTATGCTGCGATTAAGTTGCTCACAAGTACACTGATTAGTTGAAGGCAATTGGTTGCAATGGGTGTTTTCTTTGGTTGCAAATTCTGATGCATACACTTTTTCTGATTTTTCTTTGCAAAAAAAAAAAGTTTGAGAGCCATGTATGATTTTCCCTCCACTTCCTAATTAGACACTAATTTGCACTGACCCGTCATATAAAAGCCCCAAATAAAACACACTGAAGCTTATGATTGAAATTTGACAAAATATGGGGGAAAAATAGCATTGTTACTTCTATCTGAGGACAAACCTTGTGTCTGTTTAGAGATGCTGTGTCACCTCTTTGTCCAGACACTCGCTGCTTCCTCCTCCAACTGCTGAATGACTGATGAGTTATTATGAGTGACAATTTGTTGAGCTTGGATACAGAGAGAGGTGCTAGAACAGGAAATAAATCCAAATCCCTTCTCCTCCTCTCCTCGTTAATTGTTTCCATGGAGGGACGGAGGAGGTGGGAACGCTGGGATGCAGGATGGATGGAGGGCTTGTTAGGGAGGCGGTGAGCTATTTCTTTAAAAGTTTGTCTCCACCTCCGTCGGAAGTAAATTGGAGAGACGGCTGAAAGCTTTTCCAGAAGATGGGAAAGCTGGAGGCTGAAATCACTGCCCACTTCTTCTTGTTCTTTTTGATTTTTTTTCCTCTTAAGTGAAAAAGTGTAGAGGTTTTTGATGTGGGGAGGCGGGCAATTTCTTTCTAGGTTAACAGCTTTCAGAGGGAAATTAGTAAAACAACTCAAGCCGTATGAAACAAGAAAATCAGCTAGAGGGACAGATGTGATGCTGCTGTCAGCCATCTCTGGCTCTCAAGTAGATATTTTCCAATTGCTTCCAAGTTAATTTGTGCAAAATTATTATGAGCAGAAAGAGTTCATCAGCAGTGAAGTTGGCTCTCTCACTTTAGAGACGGAAGGATTAATGAAGGAAGAGCCAACGACTCACCACTCCAAACAAAGATCTTCAGAAAAGCCATTAAGTTCCAAATCGAGTCCTGCCAACAAACAAGTAACACTGATCTCACTTTTTAAATACTGAGCATTGCCTGAAAGCATCATCTTCAACTCAACAGACCTTTAGACCTGTCAACATCGACTGATCTGAAACGCATAGCATCCAAACTTTCCACACCAAATCAGCCATAGTTGGACGTGTGGGCGTCATTATGACACAGTTGTTAGCACTGTTTCCACAGAGTGTCCAGGGGTTAAACCTGAGTCTTTCTCTATGGATCAGTATGGATGCTCTCACCGGGAACACGTTGGTAATCACTGGGTACTCTGGCTTCCTCCCGAAGTCTAAAAATATGCACGTAGTTGTTAGTTGAGGAGGGTGCGTATTATTTTTTATTCTGTCCATCTCTCTTGTTACATAGATAGGCCATGATCGCTAGACGCACACGCACACACACACACACACACACACACACACACACACACAAGCTACCATCCTGCATGGATTAGAGGGGAAAGATAAAGGATGGAGGAAGCGTAATACTCATCCCTTCTCGGCAAAAAGCAGCCGATGTTAACAGTTTCATTTAACTACTGAGTTTAGTTTGTTGTCAAAAACATAAAAATAGAAAAGAAAAAATGCCTTTGAAATAAAAAAAATATCTAGGGATTAACTTGAAACCTTGTCTTTTAGAATTAGACTTTTGAACATTACATCAACAAATCATATTCTATTCTGATTTAAATGGTCCATGTTCAACTCAGACCTGCACTGAGATGAAGACCAAGAGAATTCGTCAAATGAAGCAAATAGGAGATAAGAATGTCATAAATATCTGTTTTCAAGTTGAGAATCAGATATCAGACAATCAAATGATAAAAAAGAAACACTTTGACACAGTCTAATAAAATATATATTTTTTCCTTTGGCAGTGACAATTGCATCAATAACTTAATTTGTGATTTCCCCTTCTCGCATTTCCCCTCTATGCACACAAACTAAAGGTCTTTACTTTTTGTAGATGATGTGCTTCTGTTGGAGATTGTAAGTAATGAATTTCATCATAAACCTAATCGCTCAAAAGACAATAGACTTATCCTTTGTGTCAGGAGTTAGTTTCTGTTTGAAGTGTTGCGGTTAAGGCTTCCTGGTATCTCATTTATGAGTGATGCCAGGAGAGAACGGGAGATTGATAGATGGAAAAGACGATTCCTCTGCAGCAATGAGACTGCTGCTCCTTGAATGAAAGAACTGAGCCGACGCAGCTCTTGACGTGCCGGTCTTTCTCCCTCATTGACGGTCGAAAGGTTTGACTCAAGATTCTGGGTACAAGCAGCTGAAATCAGCTTCTTCCCAGGGATGTCTGAGGTTGGCTTCAGAGATAATGTCAGGACGTTGGACCCACTGCCCACTGCACGTAAAGGATCCCGAGATGACTCCTCCTTTGGGTCTTTCAGAAATTGAAGACGCCAAACTCGCTAGAAGGTTGCCGGGGTTTCCCTCCTGCACCTGTTGCCTCCGCCACCAGATCTCAGGTTGATTAAGTCAGTGGATGGGTTGCCTTTGAGACTCAGTGTTCTTCAGTCTTCAAAATTCCAGCAACAAAGTCAGATTTGTTATTGCATTGACAAAACCTGGTTTAACGGGTTAAAGTTCATTATTTTCTGACGAACTTTGTTGAGAGAACGACAAGTATATTTCCTCTACCAGTGCAGATGACTGAAGGTCAGTTCAGCAGGTCTGGGTCTTTAATTTTAGGCGTTGACAGCAGCTTACAATCTGCAGGTGAATGAAATGCATTTCTAAAGTAATGTCATTATTCACTGATTAGTCAAATTTTACAAAAACCTTCAAACGCCCTGCGTCCGGGTCCGTCTCTCAGTGCCTGTGTCTCACTGCAGTGGGACAATTACTCCATCTGGGGATGAATGAGGTCTGTGGTTGAGTTTGCGAATGTGTGTGTGTGTGTGTGTGTGTGTTTGTACAAGAGCGGACTGGAAGAGGGAGTGGAGGGGACAAGGGAGGAGCCGAGGGACGTGGGTGAGTGATTCTCCAGATGAGATCTAATATGAGAGACGATGCATCCTAAAGAGACGTTTTCTCATGGGTTCACCTCATGAATACAAATTCACCCCCGCCCGCCTGGTCCGTTCTGGAAGGACGGATGCACCTTGCTTCAACCCATCATGGAGAAGCCCAGCAGTGCTGCTCTCTCTTCTTTTTTCTTTTTTTTTTTTTTCAACTTTGATCCAATCACAAATCCCAGCTGCGGTGACTTCATGGCAGCTCCCATGAGTCATCCATTCATACCTCTGTTCTGTGACTGAGTCTCTTCGCTCTGATTGTCACGAGTATTTATAATGACGGGGGGACCGTCCGCGAGCATGCCGGCTGAAAAAGTCAAACGTTGCCAATGAAACACAGCAGGTGAGTGTGTTGACGGAGGGGAACAATGGGTCTGCCTGTGCGCGCCAAGCTCCAGCGTTATCTTGACCAGTTCAGGTAGATCAGTGTGTTTCATTTTAAAGCAGTGAGGGGGGAGGATTTATGTGAAAGAGACTGATAAATGCCTCAGCACATTTTAAGATCTGACACTCAAGGAAAGTCAGAGTTAAACTAAGTTTGCCAGCTGTGCGTGCGTGGAGGCATGTGTGTGTGTGTCTGTGTGTGTGTGTGTGTGTGTGTTGCTGGGAGAGATAGAGTGGGAGGAAAGGGGGAGGAGATACAAAAGGGAGGAACGGAGTGGAGAGGGAAGGAGTGAGACACAGTGAGGAGGTTTAGAAACAAGAGGGAATCTTTGCCAGTGATACAAGTGAAGACACGCGCGGCTTGTTTTTCTCTTGCGGCCACCGGCTGCGTTTTTAGCAAAGGGCTGGAAGTGCGGGGAGGATGAGAGGAGGGCGGCGTTCACCAGCAGAGGTCAGGCAGGCAAAGAGAAGGGAAGCCGGCGGATGTTTTTAAGAGTTTGCTTATCTGACAGTGACAACAGGATGAGAATCTGAGCGAGGAGAGAAAAAGATGGAGCGAGCAGAGATACCTATAGAGACCCTGAACACTTAGCCTGGTTGGTCCTAGAGGGGCAGACAGAGACAGAGACAGCGTCATTAGTTCACTTTGCCTTTTTCTGTCCAAAGGAGCGAAAGAACTAGGCAAGGGATCGTAACACTGGAGCTCAAGGATAAACCATGGACTCTGCATACATCCCACCACACCTGGACGTGAGTACTCCATCCACACACACACACACACACACACACACACACCACACACACACACACACACACACACACACACATCTGTCATGCAACAGGCCACAGGAACAGTGCTGCTGAACCCATTAGCCACTCTGGGGAAAAACACACATGCAAACGTTCCCCTCAAACTGTTCTTTTTTTAACTCAATCAAAATCTCATCCCGGTAAGCAACCTGTCTGAGAATAATGCGCCCATTATGAGTTCAAAGAGCATAACTCACCACTGCTTCAGCATGCACAGCATGATTTGGCTCTCGGCGTTAACACTCATCAGATTTAATGCAAAAAACAGAGCTGTTTTTCTTTTTCCTTTTTTTTTTTTTTTTTTAGTTCTGTGTTTCACATCCGTTGAGCTGTCAGACGCATAACGAGAGCAGTCTCTGAGCTTTCGGCAGCTGCGGGTTGGACATGTCAGTGTTTCCACTGATGCTGGTGAAGTGTTGCCCGTCAGTTTGGGGCCTCCTGCAAACCGCAGCGCGCCAGTGTTGCCGGGACCTCCGAGCATCTCCGGCCGTGGCGATAAGCCGCGGGGGGACGGTTGCTGTGCGACCTGCAGATGAGAGCAGAGCGCTGCGTGTCTTGGTCACCTGACGGGGCAGGTGGGGCCGGGCGTCTCCTGATCTCCTAAATGTCTGATCTCGAAATGCGATTCGAGGTGTGTGATTCACTCACACCTTACTGCGTCTGCCTGTTTTTACTGCATGTGTGTGTGTGTTTCTGCACATCCCAAAAGACCCTAAAAGTCGGTCATGTTAGCGTTTCTTCTAAACAAAACATCACTTCACGTATTACATCCATGTTAAAGTCGTTCAATAAGACAAAGAGCTGACTCTTTGTAAGGCTTTGACCTGCTGATACCAACGTCAATTTTTCTTTAAGATCTGACAAAAAGGCAGAGAGCAGAATATGTTTTCCTGGCCTACCTGCCGTGAGCGGTCATGCGGCGAAGTCATGACAAATGGCTCCAGAGTTTGGCCTCCTGTATGAACAATTACAACTGTTTGTATCACAAGACAATTCAGGTGTCTTCAGTTAAAGGCCTTGAGGGTAAGGGTTAGTACCGTACTGCAACCTGTGGACGTGTCTCTGGTCCAAAACACCTGAATGGACTGAATCCCCTCAGGTGTGTTGCAGAAGGGACACGTCTAAATGCTGCAGGTCGCCAAACCTGGAGGACTGGATTTGAAGACTTCTGATTTAGACCCAAACCTTTACAGCAAGATGTGCAACATTTTCTGCTCCGTGGCAGGTGGAGCTTGAAAACTCAAAATGACAAAACTGGAGCCGCTTTCTCCGGGCTTCCTGAAGTCTTGCTATCGCTCGCTCTCTCACAGCCTGAAGAAATTACTGGCATAACATTTTGTACAAAATACAAACTTAGCAAGTTTTGAGACCAATCCAGCAAATCCTGACGGTGATGATGGTGACTTTTTGTAGACTGGTGAAAGCAAGCAATATTCAAACTCTGATCAGCTGCTAAAGGTCCCGCTCCTTCATTTGTTTTTAAATGTACAGTGGAATAAAGTCATTTAAATATGTTTTTTTTATTATTTCCTTAAAACTAAAATATATATATATATATATATTAATAATTACTGTGAGTTTGGTATGCAATAATTAACTTTTAACAGCTTGCAGCAACCAAAATAGTTCAGTTAAAGTATCTTTCTGCTTCTATGACATTTTTCTAATGTAATAAATTCACAGTAACCCTGTAATAGAATGACAGTAAAACTGTAATAAAATCACAATGAAATTACAGGGAGGTTACGGTAAAGATTACAGCAATAAGCTCAGCCCTGCTGCCAGTAATTTTCTGTAGATTTTACACTTATTTTTTTACAGTGTATCCTGACGTAGAGCCAACGGGTCAAGACATCCACCCAAAAACCTCCACCCGTTTCACTGGTTGATATGCTGGTAGCTAGGACAGCATATGAATATCGATCACCTTTTGTCTCCAGCCAATTATTGCATTTCTTTTGCCTCTTGTTGGTCAACTCAAAACTATTTGAATTTAAACATTAATACTGTTCTGCTCCTTTTTCTGTAAGTTGCAAAGAAATAAAGAAACAGACTCAAGAGATCTAAACTAATATTTCTTAATGTAAATTGAATTCATTTTTAATTCTTAACACTTATAGGATTTTTTTTACAGTAATTGTCACTTCAACAGTGTTTTTCCTCCATCCTGCAGCATGCAGATGGTCCATTGTGTCTAATTTAGCATCTTATAACTTCTTTCATGGCAGGCAATGGGTGCATTTGAAGGAGTTAGCAACACTGAAGATGATAATGGAAAAGCTCTGTCCTTGTCTCTGATGTCTCCTTGTATTGAGTGAATACTTTTTCCACACTATCCAAAGTGTTAGATAGATGCTACAATCTAGAACTCCTCTAGCACAGGACAATTTTCTTAAAAAAAAAGCTTATTCCATCTCTTTCTTTCCTCCTAATATTTAAAATAGAAATTCTTGAACTGTCCTCACTCAGCAACAACATCCACAATGAAGAGTGTTGTTAAAAAGTTTAGCAGCAGGTGAACATGCCTTCATGTGATGACCTCAGTTAAAGATGTTAAGCTTTTTTCTAAGATGTCCATTAGCATTTTACTCTTAGAAAAAAAGGCCTTACTTGGAGAGAAATCATAAAAAAAGGCGTGTGTGTCACACTTTTGGCTCATGAGTCAGAATACTTAATATTTCCCTAACTGTTTGCTCAGAGAGCAAAAACAAACCCTGTGGCTTGTTCGCAGCACGTATCAAGTTCAGAAATAATAGGTCGACTGCGTTGAAAAATGAGGGCCAAGAAGAGGAGAGCGGGGATTAAATCAGAGAGAGAGAAAGAAGGAATTTGGGAAAAGAAACACGGGAAGAACAACAGGAAGGGAAAGTTAAGGAACCAGGCATAACATGAAGACAGCAGCGGTGGATAAATCAGCCGGCTGCGGTGACACACCGGCCCCCCGGCCTCGCAACAGTCTGCCACGCTCTTCCGTAAAAACACCATCCACTTAAAACTTTGGGGAGGAAAAAAAAAAAAGAAAAACCTTCATAGCGGGTAAAGGAAGGGGAGCAACTGACAGGGTAACGGGGAGGTGATGCAGAAACGCGTGAAAACAGATATTTCAAACACAGGATGGCAACAGACAGGAGAAAGGTGGGTAAATATTGAACAGCAGAACATCTGGGGTTAAACGCAAAAAAAAAAAAAAAAGACAACGCATATTTTACCAGCTTTGTAAGTCAACATAAAGGACAAAGCTGCAGGACAAAGTTCAAGGAATGCAAAGAGGAAGGAGGAAGGGGAAAAGGAGCAGAGTTTGAAATAAACAGATAAAAAGAGAGGCGGACGTCAGAGGTCAGAGGTTTTAATCAGCGAGTTCAGAGAGACACGGGGGTCAGGGCAGCCACGACGCTGACCTGCTGCTCGCCAGGGTCACACTACTGTCTGCTTGATCAGGTCAGGCCACATCTTATGCATCCACAAAGAACAAGGTGGAAAAACAGCAGAGTTTGACTCTTATACCCTGAAACCTTCACCGTATCTATGACCCTTTAATTACAGAGTACACCCTCCAAACATTTCATTATTTCAAGTTCAGGCCAGACTCAGGTTGGACAGGAAGAAAAAGATCACTTGTAAAATTCCCCGCCGTTCGGTCCGGATGCATTTTTACAAAGTTACAAACCATGAAACCACGGCACTCACTCTTTATTCATGGCTACAACGGCTGCGTGTTGTTAGGAAAACATGTAACTGCGATGCTGCTGTTGGATGTTGGTTTTGATTGCGACTGACCCGGATATTCTTTCCTTTCTTTCTCCACAAAGTTCCAACCACTCTTTATGTGCGTCACTAAAAATATACATCAAACGAAGGAGGAGGCAGGGAAAATCTGTCCAACACAGCAAACATATTATTTGCATGCAGAATTTGCATGTGTGGCACTGAAAATAATAACTAACATCCCACCAAATCTTGCGACCAAGCAGTCCTTTGCGAATGCAATGTTGCACACGTTGTTATTTTTGATGTGTGATTCAATTTTATATCTTCTGCATCTCTAAAAGTTATACTATGAGATCACGCGTGTCAAACTCAAGGCCCGTGGGCCACTAAAGCCCTCCATATCTTTTTATGTGGCCCTCTAGGTTCTAGACTAAACACTGAGTGTGCTTAAATATTATGTTATCAATCAAATCAATGCACTTTTTATCCGTTTACTGTCGAATTACACCAGTCAGTCCCTCCAGTTTCTTAATAATTATTGTGGAAATTTTCACAAAAACAACAAATCCATGCACGTTTCTGCACTAATTGGGAATTTATTGTTGATTTTCCTCAAAAACTGTCAAAAACATTCTTACTTGTATTAATCAGCTCCCTGAGCCTTAATAGTCCATAAGTTGTGCAGCGAGTAATGAAAACTCGCATTTACTGTCATAAATAAGCACAAATATTTCCAAATTAGTACCACAAACACTGAATTTTATTGCGAAGCTCACAAAAACATTCACAAAATCCTGGAGGGACTGAAAAGACGTTCAATAATATAATTGCATTTTAAGAACTGATATTTAATGTTTTATCAGTTCCAGAACGAGTTTTACCAGTACGTTCTGGCACAGCCGGCCCTTTAAGAGCATTCATGATCTTGGCCCAAAACGAAAAAGAGTTTGACACACCAGAATTAGAAACTTTATCGGAGCAAAATACCAGGTTTTCAAAACAATCAAAGGTCATTTTCAACAAAGATGTACAAGATGATCGAACCACTTACTAATCAACAACATTTATTTATCATTACTTTAAATGTATCACATGAACCTCTAGTAAATTTTGTTGGAAGTTTTCAAGTTCCTTTTGTAGACTGATTTTATTTTTTGGCACTTATGATCCTTAAAGTGTAGTGAAAGTCAAAAAAGCTCATAGTAAGTTGTTAACACGTCCATCACTAACTGTAGTTACCAAAATACGATGAAAAAATATCAAGCGGTGCTTGTTTAATTTCCACAACATAACTGAATTGGTTATGTTATGTCAGAATATTTCCAAACAGCCAAATTTGTGTTTCTTTCGCATGACGTAGAAGCGCAGTAAACTTCTTGCAGCCAGCTGACTGGCAGCACACAATCACAGGAAACTTTTGTTGTCCTAAACGTTTCTTAATCAAAACAAATTTCAAGCCATAAAAACAGTGTGATGGAAAATTATAGCTGTCAAGGAAGCCTTCCCCCAGCTTTCTTTATCTTTTTCGTGCCTCAGCTTTGCACAGCCTCAGACACACCTTGCTGTGTGACAGCCAAACCTTTGAACCTCAGAGTCACTTGGGTGTTTTTTTTTTTTTTTGTAGGTGAGGAAAGTACAGAAGAGAGAGGTGGTGTTGTTGTCCTTAATCTCCTTTACAAGCTTCCACAGTATAAGGGAGAGGCCGTCCAGCAGTATCTAATCTATAATTGTCCTCTGCTACGCTGCCTCAGGTGCAACAGCTCAGGGTGGAGCTGCCAGAGTTTAATGGATACCCAGCAACAATCCCACGGTAGGAGGTGGTTCATTTTCCCATGCCTGCCCTTTGAACCGTGCACAGTTTGAACAACACGCATAAAAAATATACACGCCTTCACACCTGTGACCTCCTTCTTACCTCTGTTCTGACAATATGGCGAGATTAAGAGTCATTACAGGATCGTTATATGTTTACTCACCCATAAACGCCACTGTTATCTCGCTGCAGAGGCCCTAATCAATTCTCCGTTCCCTGCAGAGATGAGATAAGGAGATAGAGGTGAGAAAACTGGAGATATGGGAGTGCTAGTGCAGTGAAAAATATTTCATCCATCCTAAAAGCTGATTGCGCTGGCAGGAATCTGCCTTTCTGGAGAAAGTTCTACTCCAATGTGTTCGGTAGCTCATGTCGCCTTTCAGCAAGTTTTATCCATGTCGCTGCTCTTCCGCTACCTGAACCTCTCTGAGGTTAGCCGAGCTGTTGCCGCGCTGGCGTGCAGTTACCCTTCACTGTCAACACCTGCACCACAAAGAGGCCGGGTGTTAAGCAGGTCACGGTTAATTGTGTGACCCCGTTTTCGAGCCAACTGGTTCCCGCGCCGACACAGAGAGTGTCACCCGCCTGGAAGAGGCAACCGCCTCCTACGAGCCGACAACAGATCCAGATCATTCAGTGTTCAAATGTGTTTTCCAACCATTTGAACCAGTTCGTTTTGGTGAAGCGGACGGATGTGGCTGTCATTCAGTAAGTGTGAGTAATCCCTACCTGATAGCTCTGCTTTAAAAAAAAAACCCAAAGAAACCTAAAATATTTAAACCTCTTCACAAAAACCATTACAATCGGTTTCCTTATTTTTCGCAGTGATATGTCTCATCCTACACTGGCAAAAAAAACTTCATTGAAACAAGCCTTAGTGGCCTGAGTGGGAAGAATTTAATTTGTTTTCAGAGTTTGAATAATTGTTTTTCATATATTTATGGCAAGAGAACGCATGGATATAAATCAGTGTCTTTTGTTTTTACTGGTTTTTAATGCCATTTGCATTGCATTTATTTGGCCTTTTGTCACTTAATGTTGTAAACTGTTTTCTGTTCTTTTTACTTGGTAAATAAATTGGAAACTACTCATTTAATGAGTGCAGACGGATCGGGTGATCCATCCGGAGCTGTAAACGTGGCTTTATGTTTTTCTCATGAGCCAACAAATCTAAAGAACTATCTATCAGAGCGGTACGTTTTATTAAGATCTATTATTTGGCTCTTAGGAAATGTTCTTTTCACTCCCTTGCATGCAGTCAAAAGTTATGGAAAGCTACAGAATGCTTTAATGCCTTGATTCTCTGGTGATTTGAAGACGTAGAGGGAAAAAAAATGCAGGTCATGTGTCATTGTGGCAGGTCTTTACAACTCCATAACATGCCACCAGAGTCAACTATCTCTGATTAATGCTAGAAATCGTGATGCTCGGCACTCTAAGCGCTCGCATGAGATGATTACGTTCCAGTTGGAGGCTGCCTAATTGCTCCTGTCTAGGTGTCCGCCGAGATAGATGGGCCTTGCGGGTATGGAGCTCCGCCATAAATTAGCAGAAGGAAAATAAAGCGTAGTAGGCAGGAATAACAAGTAAACAGTTTGGTATGGATTTGTGGACTGTAAATTTCTTGAACATATGCCACATGAAGGCTGAAGACTAATGAGAAACTAGTGTGTCCAGGAAGCAAAAGGACATGAGCATGATATACACAGAGCTGGAACACCTTGTAAGGGGCTATCGCTTCTGCAGATTGCATGACCAGCTCTTTGTATTCTCATTATATTATACAATCTATTGGTCTGATTTTTTCTTTCTTTCTTTTTGAGTCTGGAATCAAACAGCAAGGACACCAAAAATGCCTCGCAAATATACTCCTGCTCAGCTTTTTCACCCATTTTGTCAACTTGAAACCACAAACTTCACTGTTTGAAAACATCTAAGCAACATTTGTGTTCACCTGGTTGGCTTTCAAGTCACCATACATTTCTGTGTAATTTTATTTCGGCATTAATTCAATTGTTCTGAGAAGGCCTCAGGAGTTTTGAAGAGAACATTAGAAAACTTGAAGTATCATGAAAAATCAAAGATATTCGTCTGTAACAGCTGCAAATCTACCAAAATGCATCAAGCCAGGAGGCCGAAGATACTGAAGGAATCACAAACCAGCGGAAAATCAATTTCTAGTAATTTTTGTTGTTTATATTAAATGACAAAAAACAAACATCACAAATTTTAAGTTATCTAATTTTTAAGCAATTCCAGGATATTTACAATGACTTTTACTCACAATATAGCAACTAAATCTCATGTAATCTAACATTACCCGCAAATAAACTAAAGCATCGTAATTATAAAAGTAAATCACACAATAAGACAAGTTCAGTTCAAGAGACACAAACATACAATAGCACAGTGACAAAAGAGGACGAGATCTTCCATGCGTCCATTTATAGGCCAGCATGCATAAAGATGTGACGCTAAGCTTAATGTTGCCTCCTTGTGACATGGAGGAAAAAATATGTTTCCAGAAGTTTGCTGATCATTGATCAGAGGAGCAGGTGTCAGCTTTCATATTCACACCTCAGGTTTTCACCTGCAGGGTCGAGGGCGTCTGGTTAGAGTCGATGGGAAGCTGGACAGAGCTAAATATTGGGAAATCATGGAATAAAAGCCATTAGAGGCTGAAAAATAGTTTCACCTTCCAGAGGAACATCAACCCGTAACCTACCAGAGCCAGAGAGATGAGATCAAAACCTTTTCATGAGTTTGGACGGTGCAGTCGGCGTACGGACCCAAATGCAACTAATAATCCCTGGAAAGACATTAAAATCGATGTTTGTGGATACGCTTCCTCCATGCTGACTGAGTCTGAGCTATTTCACTAAAACAGAAATGCCAAATTTCAGCCTTTACATACAAACCTGGTGGAGACGTACACTGAAGGTCTGCAAAGGAAAGTGTTTCCACAAGGCATCAGGGGAACTGAGTTCAAATGCATGCCACACTTTCAGATTTTAATTTATCGAATAATATATTTTCTTTCACTTCAAAACTATGCACTACTTTGTGTTGGTGTACCAGATTAAAGGCACATGAAACTTTACGTGTTTTGCCACAAAATGTGCAAAACTTTAGGAGAAACAACAATTTTTGCAAGGCAAGGTAAATGCAGTAATCATCTCCTCCTGCTTCAGGTCCACCATGCTCCCTGCTAACCTCCTGCTCCTCATGGTCTTGCTGCTACCTCAAGCCTCGTCTGGCCGCCAGGGTGGAGAATCCAGCGAGACCGACAATGGCAGGGTGCCCCCGACCCCTTCGTCCCCGTCGCCCGCCGCAGCGCCGCCCGACCCCGGTCTGGCTCAGACCATCCAGTCGCTCCTCCTGAGCCGACTGGGCCTGCAGTCCCAGCCGAACCCCAGGCCCGACGTGCCGGTGCCGCAGTACCTCCTCGACCTTTATCGCTTCCACCAGCAGCAGTACCATCTGCTGGAAGACCCGACGTTCAGCTTCCCCGGCCACCACATCCAGCAGGCCAACACTATTCGCAGCTTTCACCACAGTGGTAAGCTCGCTGCTGGCGCTGACATGTGAGCGTGGGGGAACAAGGCGCTTATGTGAAAAACCGCTTTTTCACATCTGTAATCAAAACGTTGATTGCAGTCAAGGCGATTCCTTGAGTGTTTTAAAAGTGCAGCTTCTGTTTTGGTCATTAGTTGTGACTCTTCTGACTTGTTTTGTTACCTCAGTTTATGTTGAAGTTCCCATGTTTTGTTGTTCAGTGCATATTCCTAAAGTTGCACAGGAAAAAAATAAGCGACCACTGCAAACATATCCATTCTCAAATTTTACCCGTATATAAATTTTACTCTTTATATAAATGAGTAAAGTGAACATTGCTCTTTTATTCTATGAGCTACTGAACTGATGACACGTCTCTGAAATACCAAGCAGAAATTCTGTATTTATTTGCAGGAAATGAGAAATGGTCAAAATAATGAAAAAAAATCATGCAGCACTTTCAGACCTAAAATAATGCAAAGCAAACAAGTTCATGTTCATTTAGAAACAACAACACTAATGTTTTAACTCAGGAAGAGTTCAGAAATCCATATTTGGTGAAATAACCACATGGAGTTCAGTGCAGTGGTCTCTTAAAAAAGCTGTACTTTCTGCTTGGTGAAGGTGTGTGTACAATTTAGATGCTGCTGCGTGACACTCAACTGACTTACGGTTGAAAATATCTAGTGTGGCCTAGTTAAAATCCTTCTGCAAAAAAAAGAGAGAGGGGCAAAATCTCTCCAAAGTGGTTCAGAAAAAAAGACAACCAGTTATTGAGTTTAGGGAGAAATTGCTTTTTCACATAATGTCAGGCTGGTTTGAACAACATCTTCCATTCACAAATTAGATCATTTGAAAAGTTCCATGATGCATTTTCTCAGGTTATCTTTGCCAGAGATATTAAAGTGTGACCAAGAAAGCAAAACCACAAGAAATCTGTAAGGGGTGAAAATATATTTTTCACACTTTTCGTCCTGGGTTGTGAAATATTTGGGCTTTTCGTTTTGCTCCCCTCATCACGCCTGAGTTGCCCCGTCAGAGAGGATGAGAGCAAACATTAGTCGGGACCTTCTTGACCCCTCCAGTCCGCCTTTCATGTTGCCATTAATTCCAACACAAGCCCTGAAATTATGGCCTGTGACTGAGGAGCTCTTTGCACGAAAATCCCATTCTGTTATTGTCTCTACTTAACGGCGTTTGTTGTGCAATTATCTGCTTGGAAAACAGGCCTGTTATTTCAGGGCCTGTTGGATCAAACCTGAGAAAGTCGGATCTGAGCACACCTGGAATCGTTTCTGATTCTTAGGGTCAAAGAAAGAACCCCAAACCTCCTGAAAATTGCAATTATTTAAATATAAAGTGCTGAAGGTTGCAGCATTGGGGGTATTGGGCTTCGCAGTTGGTATTTCAGTCGTGAAATCTGTTTAAAACGAGATAAATTCTCGGTTTTTGGTTATTTATTATAGCATTTGCATCAGCAGTGTGACTCACTCCTGGGTCAGCAGTATCTCTAAACCAGCCCAAGTCATCTGATTTACAGCCTACTTTATAACTTTCATTATTACCTAAGGTTTTAGCGCCGATATTTACGACTTGGACCTCCCGCACAAACACAGCAAATAAACATCAAATTAAAGAAAAATAACGTTAGTACTGCAATACTGCAATAAATATGCCATAAATTGAGCAGAGTGCAGGCCTTTTGGTTAATTCACATCATTTAAAAGTACTGTCATAGATATCTTTCCTCTTTAATCTGAATAAGAGAACAAGATTTTTTTATGTGGCTTCCTTGACCTGTGAGTTTTCAGTTTAAAAATAAAAAATAAAAATTTAAATCTGAGGACTGCAAAGAAGTAACTTACCAAGTTAAACTACATGCTTCTACTTTAGGTTTTTGCTTTCTGTTCTTCGTAAACCTTTTGAAGCAAGAGTCTGACTTTGTGATTTTGAGGCCACAACAGATGCATTGAAACTCTCATGCCATAGTACTGACTGCCATGATGACGTGATGATGTGTCTGCAGGGTTTTCAGAACTTGACAGAAAGTTAGAACCAAAACTTTCCCAAAGTCGACGAGGACACCTGCAGAATCTGTTGTGTTTAATCAGAGTTCAGGTTTTATGTTGTGTATTGCAAAAAGTGATCAGCTCAGTCAAAAACAAAAAGAAAATCGTGTAATGCTACATCCATTCATTTATAAACTGGCAGCCAAAGTTCTGCACGGCTCAATCAGAAAATCCGAAGCTGACAATAATCAATACAGTTGGCAATAAAAGCTGTAAAGAAAACAAGGGCTGGTCTAATACTTTATGCTGATGTCCCTCACACATGCACAAACAGCTGTTAAATACAGGAAATGTCAACTAAAAACAATTTTCACTCATCATTATTTGGCGTCTCAATGTGTTGCATGTAGTGCATGCCCCCTTCCTGCACCACCTTAGTTAAAGACCTTGTCCTAACTATCTTTACAGTTTTGGAGTCATTGTTGACGATACTAAAACTGCTCAAACTTTTACAAAAACAATTGTTAGGATTCTTTATTTGAAGTCTGATCACACTAAGTTTTTTCTTCCCTGCTCTTTTTTTTTTCCTCTCAGAGCCCTTTGGATATGACACCAAAGTAAGAGATCAGACAAGAGTGCACATTATCTTCAACATCTCCTCCATACCTCAAGATGAAACGGTTCTCTCTGCTGAGCTTCGCCTGCTCCGCAGCCAGACGGCGTCCCCGGGCCCAGGGCCTCACAGATTAAACCTGTACCTTTCTAAACACCAAGAGGATCCTGAGCCCACGTTGCTTGAGACAAGACTACTCACCAGTGGCCTCCATGGCAATAAAGCCGGTGGTTTCTGGGAGGCATTTAGCCTAAATGCGGACCTCCTCCGTAAAGCCCATGGTGGGACTGGCAGCTTGGGCTTTCTCCTGGAGGTCAGACCTGAAAACAGCACCACCTCACCTGACCAGAGCAACTCCTCTGCTACAGGTGATAATCAGACAGCGCAACACCAGGAGAGACACCTGAGGGTGTCCAGGTCTGTGGGACAGGACGATCACAGCTGGGCCCAGGAGAGACCCCTCTTGGTGACTTACAGTCACGACGGCCATGGAGAGCCTTTAGTCAAACACGGCAGGAGAACATCTGGTAAAAGCAAGTGGGTTAAGGCTAGAAAAGGGTCCAACATGAAGACCAAGAGAAGCGGCAAAGGTCACAACAGAGACCAAGCCTGGGGGAAGACCCGAAAAATGGGTTACTCCATGAAGAGCTGGGGGGACGACAAAGGGGAAGTAAGCTGGAGTGATCGTGGGAGAGTGAAAAGAAACGGCAGTCCCGCTAAGCTGAAGCGGCTTTCCCGTGGCAGGTGCCGCCGTCACCCTCTACATGTAGATTTCAGAGATGTGGGCTGGCACAAATGGATCATCGCGCCGAGCGGCTATGACGCCTTCTTCTGCCTGGGAGAGTGCCGTTACCCTCTGGCCGACCACATGAATGCCTCCAGCCACGCCGTGGTCCAAACCATGGTAAACTCGGTGAACGGAGCGGTGCCCCGGGCCTGTTGCGTCCCGACCTCCCTCAGCCCCATTGCCCTGCTTTACCTGGACAATCACGACAGAGTCGTGTTAAAGAATTACCAGGACATGGTGGTGGAAAGCTGCGGCTGCTGGTAGAGGAGCCGGAGGGCTCGGACGCAGCGACTCTGACAAGGAAACAAAGAGGAGGCTGAAAGAACAGAAGGACGGGAGGGAAGAGGCCAGTCAGCTGCAAACAGACAGAGACTGAAAAAAACAGAAATATGAGCAGAGAGGAGGGTGATGATGGGATAGAGAAGCTAAGTTATTATCAGGAGCAAACAGTGTTGACTGGAAGAGAGAGTTTAAAGCGTAAGAGTATTTGAAAGAAATAATGTGCTACATATTGATGACAGAAATAAACTGCCAGGAGTGATGCTCTATTTTCCATTTTGCAATTTTGCAGCCGTTTACATCATTCACTGCCAGTCTGCTAGCTCCACTGTGAGAAGCCAATGCTCTAACATCGAATGACAACAGAAGGTCTGCATTAACGACAGCAACCTGTAGGAAAGCACAGGTGAAGGAAGGCAGCCGACCTGAGTAGAAACAGGAGTCGCTGACGGACAGAGATGGAGACTCAAACTCTACATCGAGCTGCAGAAACAGACTTCAGACTTGACACAAAACTCTCGCTGTAAAGACTTTAGACCCAGCTCGGACTCGAGGTCTGGTACTTTCCTTTGTGCAATCAGAGGTGAAAAGAGTTGTGAGTCTTCTACGTTTCCAGAGTGTAACATGTGCCAGTAACGGTAGCTTTCAAGTTTGTTGAGATGTTCATTTCATCCTAGTAAAGGATGCGGTTGATTTATTAACCATCATGATTCATAGACTGTGGGCTATTAATGGTTCATAACAACCTATTCATGTTAGCTGTAGATTCACGACAATGGCAGATTTTTTGTTTCGGGTTTTTTTTTTTACAAGTTAAATCAAAAGTACTAAGCAGCAGATCTTGATTTTACCCCTCACCAGACCGCATGCATCTGCCCCCAAAGACTTGAAACCTGACACGGACTTGAGGCCAAAGACTTGTGGGTCAGCTTGTCGACATCTCTGTCCTCAGGACACATTTGAGCTCCTGTGCATTTCAAGCAATCCTATGTACTTCTGCCTGACTTGACCTGAATAATCAACTGTATTTGAAATAAATATGACGACGGCACCAGCATGTCATTAAAGCCTTTGTGCTACAGTGTCTTATCGGCGGTATTTGAATGAGAAGGAGGGTCCGTTTGTTTCTACGAAAGCTGATATCAAGAATGTCTGTAGCATACGAGCAACCACTACGTCACAAGCTATTTAAAACAGTAATGCTGAGGAATTAATATGCTATTATTTGAATGTATTACTATCATTATTATTTAAAAAGAAAGAATTTTGTAAAAGTTTTTTTTTTTTTTTTGCAAAAATTTGTGTAATGGTTGTCATGATTTTTACATAAAACAGTGAACTTTAAGTTAAAAGACACATTATGTATTTAAAGAAAGCAGCAGTATGGTGTATTTAATCTAGAAAATATTTAAAATACCTGCACTCATCAGAGCAAACATGGAAGCCTGCCAGCCACACAAAGTGCTTAATGGTAGCTTTACATCCCAACGAATGTTCAGTATATTGAAATTAACAGTGTTTGAAGCTTCACCCGCCTTTTGGTGTGCAACACATGATAGCAGACATATGTGATATTACCTCTAGAAACTGAACTAACACATCAGCCGGAGGAAGCTCTGTGTGTTGTAGCAGCTGAAGTGTGTAACACAGGTGTCTTCGCTATAGTTGTGTTTGCATGTGTGCGATGTGACGGTTAGTAAAAACTCTGGCCTTTAGTGCCTTTTAAAACAGGGGCTTTTAACGTGTTCTCTGCTGAGCTTTGTGTGTTTTACAGTGATGCATTTTCCTCTATGAACGGAAACATTTCAGCAAGAGCTTGTAAAATGTTTGCCAATATACCTCTAATAAACAGACCAAGCAGAACAACTGTCAAGTGACTTTTCTTTTGCATCGACCATTTGTCCTTTCTATACAGCTTTTTTTTTTTTTTTGTCGTCGTCGTTGGCCAGGGATAGGCTATGTATCACGTTTAGATGGAAAAAAAGAGATTGTAAATATATAGTAAAGGATCCACATTTCTTAGATTTAAAATGCAGCTTCACATTCTTATACTGTAACAGCTTTCGCAGGGTTTTGGAGAGAAGTTTAAATGTCCTCCTGCTGAAGCCATTCTATGATGTTACACAAGGAACATCGTTGCTTAACACCAAATACGAAAATAGAGATAGTCAATGAACAAATGTGAACCCGCATGCTGAAGTTATATTTTCTGTGAACGGAAGAAAAGTTTTCCACAAGGCAGTAGTTTGGAGAGCAAACAGACTGCCGGGATAGCATGCATTTTCCAGGCACATGGTGCTGTTTTATAGTGTCATCAAGTGACTTAAGTTGTCTCTGGTTGTTGTGAAGCAACTAGAGACAAACGTGACTTAACAAAACAGGTTTGATTTTGTAATTGTCTGTTGCAAATATTAAGTGTGGGATCCATTGCAGTGTAGGAGTTAAAATGTTTTAGAACAAAATGGTTTAATGTCAACAAAATTAGGAGGACTACAGAAAACTCGATGGGCGACAGAGAGAGCAAAGAGTCAAAGGTCGTGATGAGCAGCAGACTGCTTTCCCTCCAGGCAGATTGTTAATTTACAGTTGAGCTTCTTCGAGGTCCCGTCTGTGAATCTGCCAAATACAGAATACAGTGACATCTTTCTCTAATTCCTGAGGCGACCAGTGAACATTTACTGCAGAAATATCTGGTTGAAAGCAAAGCGTCCAGAGTAAAATTAGCAAAAATGTCCACTACAGCAACAAAGACCATCAGTGTCAGCCCCAGAACTGATGAGGTGCCATGATTGGACTGAATCTTTTTTTTTTTTAACTTAATGGTATCAAAATTCTTTTTTAATAGGAATGAATAACATGCTGTAATTCTCCTTAAATTATTGTCCAAGCAGGAACCAAGATGAGCAGCCAAATAAGATGGCATGGGTAAAGCAAATATGTTACTTTATAGACAAACACGTCCTAAATTATGCATTTATACCTGACATATTTGGCCCACTTCAAAACAAACCACAGTCTGTTTCCTCGTTGTTCCAGACATTTTGCGCGGGTGTGAACACACTCTGGTGTGGACCAAACAAGCCCCGTCTGGAACTCACGTTTTGAGATGATCCATTTCCAAACAAACTCCACTTTTGGTCCGGGCCAAACAAATGGACCAAAGGACTTTCCTCATGTGAATAGTTCAACCTAAAACATTCTTAATTTTCTACTTTACATGTATTAACATCTGATAGCCATGACATGGTTTTAGTTTTGTATTTTAGTTCAATAGTTCTTGATCCTCAGTTGTGATCTGTTCCTGCTTCTTTCCTTTCATAACTGTCTGTGGTTATCTTAATGAGGACACATTTACACCTGCAGTTTGCTGCCGATATCTGCTTAGGCATGAAAATGAGTGTAATAAAAACACACAGGCAGGCCCATAGCGAGGGCTGTAAAGGACCCAGATGTTTTTACAACGCTGCAGAATGTTGGAAATTTCACATAGAGTCTTCAACAATATGCTGCTGCGCTTTAATTGCCCAGAGTATAAAAACTGAACTATCTAAACTTTCTTCCTGCCTCTTTATCACTGCGCCTGTGTGTTTCTTGTATTTGATGCATTGCATGGACAATTTTCCTAACACATGCTTCATTTTGGGGACCGACTACTCCTTGCTGAGTCCCAAAAGAAGAAGTTCTGTTTTTGAGTTAGGGATGAGGTTTAGGACTAGAGCTTAGGATACGTTTAGTGTTGGGTATGAACTGGTAATGGTTAGGTTTAGGATAAGGATCAGGGTCAGGCTGTAGAAATGAATGAAAAAGGAAAGCAAGCCAATGCAAAGTCCTTATGAAGATAGAAAGACATAGTCTGTGTGAGAGCGGAGGGAGAAAAACGGGAGGACAAAAAGCTTGAGAAAAGTCATCTGATCCTCACAGACAGCGTATGTCCGCTCCGCTACAAAGCACTTTTAGCAGATGAGGCTTTGGTTTAGCACCACAACATTTCCCCTCATGCGCTTTAACACATCATTGTTCACTTAAATATATCTTCTGAAAATTTCAGTCCGTGGCCCCAGCTCACTTTTTTGTTTCTTTTCTCAGCCCATCCCTTTTCAAACGAGCCTGACTCATCTCATCTTTACCCGCTTTTCAATTTACTTCTCATTAAATCTTTTATACCGCTGAACTTTATGTTCCTGAAACAGTTTTAGTTGTCCGTCATTTCTTTTCCTTTTTTTTCAGCTTATCACACTGACTCCTTTGTGTCAAACAGCTAATTTTTCCTTGTGAAGAAAGTTAGCAAAGCGTATTTTAAAAACCCTCAATTTAGACCTATTTATTATGAGATTGAAATACAACTATATGACTTTGTGACGTCCATAGTGCATTCTATGGTATGTGATACGGTGTAAGATTTCCCCGACTGTATTGCGCCTTGATAAAACATCGTTATAATGGTAGCAGCTGCATGGAGAGGTTGGTTGCAGCGGTGACAGGTAATCGATGAGGTGAGCAGTATAGTACCTTAAGGACACTATGAGCAAAATGTCGTTCTACGTTTGAACGCCTTGTCAGGGATCTCACCTTCCCAGGTGAAATTAACAGTCATCACTCTCCATTGCAAATAAAGAATATCTGAAATACTTTGGCAAGTTCTGGTAGTCTGGCATGTCAAAATATGTAGGCACTGCACTTCCTGTGTGAGGGGGCAGCGCGCACACATCCAAATTGCACATATAGGCAGGAGGTTCAGGCTGCTGCAGTTCAAAAACAATTAGAATTTTATTTAGAAATTAGATCCAAGAAGGAGAAGAAAGAAAAATGCAAGCGGTGGCCCTCAGGCCTTCAGTTTGACACGTGTCTTAAGTCATGCAGCTCTTTGCTAAAATCAGCAACACTGCAACAGCTGCAATAAATGCATGGGCTCCTTAAATAACTATCATTCTCTTTATGATGGAAACAGAGAGCAAACAGAGAGGCTGTGGAGAAAGCCCGTGCTGCAGTTAGACTTTGGAAAGGCAGATATTTTTAGTACTTTCTGCCAGTGACTATCTAACATGTGCTGTGTCATTCAGGTCTACGAACCGCTTCCTCGTTCACAGAAACGGAGGCTGACTGAGTTGATGAAGCTTCGCTGCCAGCCTTCCCACCCACGTGGTCAGACATGAAGGGAAACTCAGCCGCGTGGTTTTCCTGTCTCCAGTGATGATCTGCTTCCAAAGCGGACTGACACAAAAGTTACTGAAGCTGCTGGGAAACGATGCCAGTGGTGGAAACTGAAGCGCTGAGGGTTAGCGAGATCAACGCTGACGGATGAGTGATAAGGAGGTGAAAAACTACGAAATACTAAAGAAAACATAACAGTTTAGTTTTTTTGTTGTTGTTTTTTTAGTTAGATGCATAAATGCGGGAAACTTCCACTTCCTCTAATCCAAAAAGGCGGCATTGTTTTTAACCAGTTCGCATTCAGAACATCTATGCGTGGAAGTGAAGTGTGGTTCTTAGTTATTCGAAGCAGCAACTCAGTTCCAGCATCAAGTGACGCTGGAACAAAGCAGGATGGAGAACATGAATAGAGCAGAGTGAGTCTCTCCTGTCATAAACTCTCTGGAGCTACAACTGAGAAAGGAAGGTAGATGAGAACAATTTCATCTGTATTTTCCAACCAGAGTCCAATGTGGCTCTATATTAAACTCGGTTTTTCCCTTGAGTTTGCATTTACATGAATATGATAATAATGTGCACCAACGGACTATTAAATCAGCATTAATTTAAGGTAAATTAAAAATCGGTGTCGGCCAGACAAAATGCACCAGTCTCCTCCCGTATCTCCACAATAAAATAGTGATGGAAGTCAAATGTTTCATGGATGTGTCACATTTCAATATGAATACTTTCATATTCATATTTCAGTCCATATATTGAAGGTTTATAAAACTAAAAAATGAAGGTCATTGACTTCCCAAAATTTTATTACATAATGCTTCAGAAAAATACTTTTTACTCACAGACGTCTCTTGGCAAAGAGATTTAAGGTTTGTTTTATGCTACATAAAAAAAAGTACAGATGTGTCTAGAGTACCAGCAGCAGAAGATCCATGGCATCACATACACAACCAAGGTCACGACTGCTAATGGGTGTGAGCGTTTCCTGCTTGGACATCAGAAAGAGTTTTCAATCATAATAACCCCCAAAGTACACTAAACTGCAGTTTCATACATATAGTGTGTCACACGATAAACTGATGGTGTCCCAAATCTCTGCAGCAGATGTGAATGGATCTACCAGTCGTGTGCTGAAACTGGGTTGGTGGTTCGCAGTGGAAACATATAAAACAGATAGCAAAGGTTTTGGGTTTCAAAGACGGACTGAATCGGCGCAAAAAAATCGATCCTGCGGGTCACGGAGTAAAGCAGGTGCTGCACAGGGAAGGTCGGCCCGGAAACAGGTGACTCCAGAGCCAGAACCCCTGAAGTGAGTCAGGGAGGGACGCTGAGTTGCTTTGAGTGTGTTTAATGTAGCAAGGCAGAGGTTGCGTAAGGACCAGCTGCTTTCCTCAATTGAGCTTCGCCAGATATTTCTGGCAATCTGTGCACCAGATACCGTCTTAATCAAACCTGATTCTAGTTTAAACACTCTTCTAAACAAACACATCAGATTTTTCCCCGACCTTCCTTTTTGTGCGTTCACGCCCTGCTTTTCTTCCAGAGTGCCTCTTTCCTTTCTAAAGCCGCTTGAGGGTGAAAAACAATGTTTGCACAGGTGTTTTACAATCAAAACAGATTCAAGTCGCCATAATTCCTTCGCTTCCTTTCTGGTTTTGTTGCATTCAGCATAATAGACTCTGATTTACTTCGGCTAAGGTGTAAGTTTAGAG